TCTGGAAAGGGTTATAAAGCCATTTCCAACGCTTTGGGAATCCAGCGAACCACAGTGAGAGCCATTATCCACAAATGGCGAAGACATGGAACAGTGGTGAACCTTCCCAGGAGTGGCCGGCCGCCCAAAATTACCCCAAGAGCGCAGCGACGACTCATCCAAGAGGTCACAAAAGACCCCACAACAACGTCCAAAGAACTGCAGGCCTCACTTGCCTCAGTTAAGGTCAACGTTCATGCCTCCACCATCAGGAAAAGACTGGGCAAAAATGGCCTGCATGGCAGAGTTCCAAGGAGAAAACCACTGCTGAGCAAAAAGAACATCAAAGCTCGTCTCAATTTCTCCACAACACATCTTGATGATCCCCAAGACTTTTGGGACAACATTCTGTGGACCGATGCGACAAAAGTGGAACTCTTTGGAAGGTGTGTGTCCAAGTATATCTGGCGTAGAAGGAACACTGCATTTCATAAAAAGAACATTATACCAACAGTAAAATATGGTGGTGGTAGTGTGATGGTCTGGGGCTGTTTTGCTGCTTCAGGACCTGGAAGACTTGCCGTGATAAAAGGAACTATGAATTCTGCTGTCTACCAAGAGATCCTGAAGGAGAATGTCCGACCATCTGTTCGTGTACTCAAGCTGAAACGAACTTGGGTTCTGCAGCAGGACAATGATCCTAAACACACCAGCAAGTCCACCACCGAATGGCTGAAGAAAAACAAATTGAAGACTTTGGAGTGGCCTAGCCAAAGTCCTGACCTGAATCCTATTGAGATGTGGTATGACCTTAAAAAGGCCGTTCATGCTCGAAAACCCTCTAATGTAACTGAATTAGGACAATTCTGCAAAGATCAGTGGGCCAAAATTCCTCCAGGACGCTGTAAAAGCCTCATTGCACGTTATCGCAAACGATTGGTTGCAGTTGTTGCTGCTAAGGGTGGCCCAACCAGTTATTAGGTTTAGGGGGCAATCACTTTTTCACACAGGGCCATGATGGTTTGGATTTTTTTTCACCTTTAATAATAAACACCTTCATTTACAAATTGCATTTTGTGTTTACTTGTGTTGTCCTTGACTATTGTTTAAATTGGTTTGATGTTCTGAAACACTTAAGTGTGACAAACATGCAAAGGAACAGGAAATGAGGAAGGGGGCAAACACTTTTTCACACCACTGTATACAGTTCAATTGTTTCTCCTGACACTTGATATCTTATTATTGAAACAAACAAACAAACATGCAAAAAAAAAAAAAAACACCTAATAGTGTTCTGGACTTTCGACCAACCACGGAAAGGCCCCAATCACCCTTAGTCTTAGTACAACAGTGAGGGACAGATAGAATATGTTAGTGTTCTGGTTGGAGAGTAAGAGTGAAGACAGTCAATAATGTGCTGTGGATCAAAACCAGAAAGAGCTTTATATACATAAATAAGAGTTTTAAAATCAAAACAGGAAGCCAGTGAAGAGATGCCAAAACAGGGGGAATATGATCACTCTTTTGGTCCCTGTTAAAAATCTAGCTCCTGCATTTCTCTCTTTGAAAAAAAAAAAAAGAATAAATCTAAAACCCCCCATGTTGAATAGCAGTTGGTTTTCCATTTCCCACAAGGACAGGACTGGTGTGAATGTGTCAGACGTGTGCACCACAGGGTACATGTGGAGAGGCTGTTCCTTTCACCGTAGTGGACATAAGGAGATTTATTGTGTAAAATAATTGTGCGTTATCACCTCTTCCATGAAGCTGATGCGCCGATGGAGAGCCCGTGTGGATCGACAGAGTCTGAGAAAGAGATAGGAGAGTCTAGGGGCATGAATTGGTACGATAACGGGAAACAGTGGACAGCAGATGGCCATCTCTAGACACCAGTCTCTGTACTGTCACTGCCCTTTGATCAGCTGCTTCACAGAGAAAAGCTGAGCACCAGAATGCAAAGAGTAGCAAGAGAACTGCTTGTTATACAAGAAGAATGTATATGGCAAGTTAAAAAGAAGAAAGAAAAAAAGAAAAGAAAAACAATAGGACTTTCATTTTGCTATCTGTACCAAAAAAACTGAACAAAAAAAATAAAACAACACTAAATTAACACATGCAGTGTGTATCAGTGAATCAGTGATTTTTTTCTATGAAAATAACATTTATTTTATTTCCAAGAGAAGAAGTGGCCCTTGTGTACAGTCAGTGTTTGTCATATCCTTATGCTCAAAGTGTATTAATAAAAAACAGAGCACACTTCCATAACTGACTTGACTTGTAGTAACTTCAGATAAAAACACCTCTAAAGCTACGTCCACGTTAATCTGGATACATTTGAAAACACATCTTCAGTCCACACTGACACGGTGTCTTTTGTCCAGTAAAAATGGAGATTTTCGAAATGGATACATTTGAAAATGCAGTTGTGATACAGTCATGTGATCCATTCAACTCAAAACAAACAAGATGGTGGACGATGTTGTACTGCAGTTGTTGTGCCTGCTCTGTAGTTTGATAGCTTTGTTAAAGATTAATGTCACCTTGTACAACCTTGTGCATTTTCAAATAAACACCTGATGGAAAATACACAGGTCAAAGCTTCTTACGTTTTTACATATGAGCAGTGTATGGATCTGAACGCTTTCAGACGTTTCAGGGTGAACAAGCAATTTTTGGAAAATGTTTGAAAATGTCAGTGTAGGCCGAGAGCGTTTTTACCCTTGCCTTGGATGGCTCTGTCTTTACTTGTATATCTTGTTTGAATCTTACAGATTTCCTCAGTTGTTTTCACACGTTTCAGGAATCTCAAAACTCAGACATCTCAACGCTTTCAAACGTTCAGCAATCTGTTCCACTGCAAGCAAAACACCATGCAAAAAATTCCACAATTCAAAAATTTTAACAAAATTTTCTAGATGAAATAAATTCATCAACCATCGCATCACTGTCACCAAAATACTTTCCCCCTTTAATCATTGCTTTAACCAAGACTGTGATCAAGCTCAAAGAACTTTGTCAAGACAGAGAGGACTGAAGTTGTGTGTCTGTTGTAAATTTCTCCTCTCAAACCTTTATAATGACGTTGAATATCTTCTGTAGACAAATACAAAAAAATCATTCAATCTACAGTTTTACTCATTTACTTGAACACATTTGCCCATTTATAAAATGTTCACACTGCAAAAAAGACATCATAGCACGTTAAAATATCCTGAATCCAGTCAAAACGATCTCCTACTTCTTATTACAATATTCCAACAAACCAAATATATGATTATTAAAGCCACTTCTAGACATATTTACTAATTCTAAGCTTGAAATAGGTGTGTTCTATTGGCAGATAATTTTGCTAATATTTTCACATTTATTTCTAGAAATAATTTGTAAATTAAGAAATATGTCTAGAAATAATATTAATAGTCTTACATTTGTTATATAATAATCTCATAATAAATTTTCCTTTATTCGAGATACCTACCTAAGATATAATTTTTTGCACTGCAGTCAAAGCTCTTCTATATTACAGTTTAACTTTATAAACCTTTCTATTTTTGTTTTTACTTTTAAAATGAAGCTGTAACATATTTTACAGTATAAGACTTTTAGAATCATTCATTTAAATAACAGTACCTATTTCAATTTCTTGCCATTGTGCATATATATATATATATATATATATATATATATATATATATATATATATATATATATATATATATAGGGGAGTACACTTTGGGATCATTCCCTAAAAGTAACTGGAGCACAATGGCAAGAAATTGAAATAGGTACTGTTATTATATTTTATATTATATATATATATATATATATACACACACACACACACACACACACACACACATATGTGTATAAGTTTTGAATAACTTGCTTAAAATTTCATACCTATTCAGTAGTTACAATATTTTTATACCCAGCGGCTTCATAATTTTAAATTTCAAAAGTGATATAAACTCATTTCATGTAATTTCCTTACCATTAAAAAAAAAAATTATTCAACAAATACATTTTAAGTCAGATTAACATAAATACTACTGAAATATAATCCAGACATACAAAAGTAATATACAAAATTAATATAATAACAACATACAAAGTAATTGGCACAACACCAACAACAAAAGTTCAAATCTGTTGCTCTTATTAACACTTTCATTGTTTTCTTTCAATAGTTTGCTTACACAACTATTCAAGTTGATATTAAAGTAATTTTTCAGCAAATTTTTAGTCAGATGTATAACGCTTAATTAAATGAGTAATATTGAATACTGCCTTATACTATGCTACATTAACTGCATAGTTAATGCATGTTCTTCAGTTATTATTTATTTATTTAATGATGTAATACATATTTTTTTGTCATTATTTGTAGTCTAAGAGGGATATGTTAATTCAGGCTCAAAAGGTGTTCAGAAGCATTATTGCATGCGTTTATTGATACATCGAGTAATTACAACCTTGACACAAAGCTGAAATCATTCGTGTTATCTTTAATGTACATTCTAATGGTAATCCTGCACTGATATCCTGTCTACTTTATTATTGAACCACTTCCTCTCAATTCCTGCAAAATTGCACTCGTTAATTATTTAAGTGTAATGACATTACAACTGATTAATTAATGAGGGCAATTTTGCACTTTATTGTAAGAGTTGAAAGTCATCATGTTATATTTATGCAGGATAAGGCATATCTTGTCGTTGAACCATATATTGAAAAATGTTAGGTTAAGGGGAAAATAAGGTGTTAAAGCATTAATAACTATTGCACACATCGCAGTCTGTCTTCACTATACAAAATGAAATTCTGTAAATGTATTATTAAATTTTTTTATTATTATTATTTTACAGGATTTTTGTGAACAATTAGGCGATTAAAGCTGTTTATTGGTTTATAGTAAAATAACAGAAAACACAATGCATTGTGGGATGTCTAATATTATAGGCAGGGATGAGAATGGTAATATATATACTTGTTTGTTTGTTTATATACTATAAGTTGAGCTAATTGGGGTGGCTCAGTGGTTAAGGCTTTGTATTACAGCTAAGAAGGTTGTGTGTTCAAATCCCAACATCATCAAGCTGCCGTGAGTGGGTCATTGAGCAAGACCATTAACTTTCTGTTCAGTTGGATCCCACATTGTGCTGGATTATATTTTCTACTGTAATTATATTTCAAGTATTTTAAAAGCAAAATAAATATGAAGTATGAAGAACATTACTGCAAACATTCAGTAGTATATGTTAAAAACAATAGGAATAATCTATAATGACTTTACTGGTAACTGTTCTACCAGTAAATTACAGTAGATTTTACAGTAAATGTTTTACAAAATTGCCTCTTATTTTACAGATGATCTTTATATATATATATATATAAAAGAGTGTAATTCTACTCTATTAGGTATTTGAGATCATGTCACTTTCCCAGGTTAAATATTACACTGTAAAAGTGAATTTGTTTATTTGACTCGGCCACGGTCAGAGGCTCCTTGGTGTAGGCCATTCAGTGCTCTGCAACTGGTCTTGTAAAAGACATCAGTGACATTTACTTACATCTCATTTGGTAGTCTCTTTTTCCCGTGTGTGCGCTGTTCAAAGGAATGAATTCCCACATGTTTTTCTTTGAGCTATTTATATTGAACTGGCTGAAATATGAGAATCTTTCTGCTCAGAGTTAACATTTATATTATTTTGTTGTGGCCATTTTAAAGATTTTTCTAAAGGTAATTTTTTCCTATGTCAATTGTAATAATATATTATATTATTATTATATTATGTACAATTATTATACTTATTATACTGTAAAATAATACTGCTTTTCACAGTAAAGATTAATGACAGAAGAAGCTTAGACCAAACAATGTGTCCAAACAGATATGGCATAACTATTCATTATATAAAAATAAATGCACTTTTTTTAAAGGGTACCTACAAAGGGCCCTTATAACACATTCATAAGCACTGCATAAATATTCTATAGTGTTAGAGAATTTATAAATTGTTTATCTCAAAATGTGTAAGATGACATTGGAGGTTTTACACAACTTTGACTTTATATGGAATTCGCATTATGAGTTGAGTAATTGAGACACTGTATTTATTTTTTTAATTATTATTATCAATATCTTGCATGTTATTAGCTTGTTTTTACTGAAACAGGACATTCAGAACAGTTTGGGAAAGCTGTAAAAGCTGTTAAAATCATAAATTTGGCTGGCATATGGGCTTAATAATATGTCCAGTTACTATCTTTAGTGAGGTGTTCTTACGGGATCTATTTCTTATACAAGCATGGCATTCTTTTCTGATTTATGAACCCAATATGCCAGCCGTATTGAATGATTTTAATGCCTTCAAGCTAAAATGTTAATCAGATATACATTTATAACACTCTTATGAAGCACTATATTCACATTCAAACTTTTTTTCAAGATGTGGATTTAAAAAAAAAAAGAATCTGTAGCACAGTGTCTAAATCAGTCAACTTATAAATAATTTAGCATAAAAAAAACAGTTGTCTTTTTTTTTTTAATCCAGTATTATAACATGTTTTGACATACGACCTATCATAAATTCTCCAGAATTGCTTTATAAAATGTTTATTCAATGCTTATTAACGTGTTATGAATGCACTATGTAGGAACCCTTCAAAAATGTCTTACCCCCAAATACAGTTTTATAGTATGGATTAACACACGAATTATAAGGATCCATTTTCTCAAATAATTTGTCATGAATTTGCTTATATTACAATAAAAGATTTAGATAGAGCATTCCTGTCTTTCAGCACTCGTTCTTTCTGATTGCGGTGTTCTTAGGAACATGGACCTTGTGCTCCTGCATTTTCTTAGTAGAGATTTGAGCCAGTCACAAGGTTTGATTTTTTAAAAGTCAGTTTCCTGTAAGCAATAATTCACGCTTTGGAACTCATAGCTGAGGGTGTTCGGAAAATCAGGAGGTGTGTCTGCATTCACCTGTTACAAAGTCTCTCAGGTCAGTGGGTTCTTTCTCATCTATGATGCTGAACTGAAGACAGAGCTGAGGAAGGAGGAGAAAGCAAATGAGGAGGTGGAGGCGTTTGGATGGACAACGTACACACACACACGCATACACATGCAGCAAATCTCAGGAGTGAGCTGGAATGGTCGGAGGCTGCTCTGATCGTCCCTGGCTTGATCCCTTTCTCAGGCAAGGTTTTGCAAGTAGGGGGCGCTGGGAGTGGAACTGTATGTAGGATTACAATTCTCCGAGGCTTGTCTGACTTCTGCTACGGAGCACTGCGCTGCCTGTGTGACAGTCTCTTACGCCTGGAAGGTAAGAACCTTTCTTCTCTAGGTCATAAAATCTACTGAGCTGGTGGGGCTGTGTTTGGGTACAAAAACAGCACTCTGTGACAAACAGCTTGACTGAGCATGAGCAATACCTTGCAGTGATACCATTGCGAAATCACTTCACTTCAGTTCATCACTTATACTGCTTGCAGGTCAAACAGAAATGGAAATGAATTACAGTAGCCCATTTCTAGAGTGTTTGGTCTGTGAATTTAAAAGAGTCTATAGAAAAAATTGCAATGGTTGAGCGGGATGTTCTATACTGTATGCTGTCTGTAATATCTGTATGCTTATCATCAAGAATATATTTGTTAAATCTAAGTAGAGTTAGAGATTATTAAGTAAATAGAAAAAGTTTTTTTTGGACGGTGAGCTTTAAATAAATAGCCAGGATGCATAAAGGATAAAGAATTACGCTCATACTTTTTCCATCTGTTCATTATCTGAGATGAAGCTTATTTATGAGAACTTCGTGTATCAGTTTATTCATAAACATTTACACTTTATTATGGTAATGCTTTTTATTCTGAAAAAAAAAATGTGTTATTTGAAATTCTGAATTCTTTAACAGGCTGAAAATAAAACATGCTAATTATAGTAACCTGGCAGCACAACTTTGTTTTTTCTTCCTCAAGTCAATCAATTTCACTGGGAACCTGATCCCTAAGCCCAGGGATTTGCTGTGAAAGGGCATGTGATTTACATCTGTAACAGGTGGACAGACTATATGATATAATTACAGTGAAATCTGTACATCTGTATGCTTTATTGCAATGGCTTTGAGATGGTCTTTTGTCTGACTAGAATCTGGAACGCGTATGTTGCACTGGTGAAGTGTGGCTCTGAAGGTGTGTGTTTTACAGGAAAGGAATTAATATTTCACAGGTTTCATCAGCGGGGAAGGAAAGGGGCTCTGGTCATCCGTTAAAGGTCAAGATTTTCTCCGCCGCACAAGATTATCATTCTCATTATGGCAATACCTTTGCATCTTTAATTAAGTGAACTGCCTAATCAAATCAAATATGGTTTATATACTTTTTGACATTCAAATGTAAGCAGTCCTAATATTTCATTGGAGTGCAATGGCAAACTGGTTGCTGAGATTTGTTGACTTCTACTCACCTCTGTTTCCTCCAAATGAAGAGAAAATGATCTTGATGTGTGTTTGGTTTTATGTGTTTGTATCTTTCATTGATCATTAAAAATAATAATGCAGCTGTGGATCATTTGCATATGTTCTTTCAGCTTTGTAAGAAAATCTGCTGATATAAATTTGCTGTGCATAGTTATTTTGCATTTAATTCACTTCTTATGTATTATATTTCTGTGGGTCAGTTGGGATACTGACACTCTATTAGATATTATTAAATAGTGATATGTTACAGAAATATGTTTTGGCTGTAGCCGAGACGCCAAAACGAGACAGGAATTGATGCTAGGCACGGAACAGGAGCAGGGTGCCTGGTATTTTTCTTCTCTTGTAATTACTTTTTTTTTCTTTTCCTCTCTCTCCTTTCCTCCCTTCCTCTGTTTCACTAGATTAGGTGTCACAGTAATAGCGTCATCGACTGCTGCCTGATGAATAATCATGCTTTTGGACTGGAGGAGGCAAAGCAGCACTGGAATTAAAATGTGTAAAGAACAAACTGTACAAAAGAAGCACAGCCTCTAGAGAGAGAAAGAGAGAGAGAGAGAGAGAGAGAGAGAGAGAGAGACCCCTCGTGTCAGTGTCATGGATCACACAAGCCCAGGCAGCCCCCACAGATGAGATGACTGCAAACATGGAGGTGCTTATTGGCATCTATTCCCACGGCCGCCCTGTCTCAAGAGGCAAACTCGTCAGGATGCTATTAACTACTGCTGAACTGTCTCTCTTGTAAACTCTGACTGGTAAAAATGGGAACTGCAGCCTAAATGAGCGGTCCACCCAAAACTGAGAGCTGGGCACACACTCAAATGCAGTATGTAGCATTGGTGACCTATGTTTCGGGACATGCAGTACAAAGACACTGCCAGTATGGAAGAGCAGACAACCACTCTGATTCACATTTATCAGAATAGCACTGAGCACTTCAACACTTCGTTTGACTACAACTCGACAGATCTGAACGAGAATACAGACACCAGTAAGTTTTATGTCATTGGGCTTTTCCTCTCTTGCCTGTACACGATCTTACTCTTCCCCATCGGCATTATTGGGAACATCCTCATACTGGTGGTTAACTTGAACCACAGAGAGAAGATGACCATCCCTGACCTTTACTTCATCAACCTGGCAGTGGCTGATCTCATTTTAGTCGCTGATTCGCTCATCGAGGTCTTTAACCTGAACGAGAAGTACTACGACTACGCTGTTCTCTGCACCTTCATGTCCCTTTTCCTGCAAGTCAACATGTACAGCAGCATCTTCTTCCTGACATGGATGAGTTTCGACCGCTATGTGGCTCTGGCCAACTCCATGAGCAGCAGACCATTGCGCACCATGCAGCATGCCAAGCTCAGCTGCGGCCTCATCTGGATGGCCTCCATCCTGGCCACCCTCCTGCCCTTCACCATTGTGCAGACACAGCACACAGGCGAGGTCCACTTCTGCTTCGCCAATGTCTTTGAGATCCAGTGGCTGGAGGTGACAATCGGTTTCCTGGTGCCTTTCTCCATCATCGGTTTGTGCTACTCCCTGATCGTACGTATCCTCATGCGGGCTCAGAAGCACAGGGGCCTGTGGCCACGCCGACAAAAGGCCCTGCGCATGATTGTTGTGGTGGTGCTGGTGTTCTTCATCTGCTGGCTACCTGAGAACGTCTTCATTAGCATCCAGCTGCTCCAGGGTACAGCAGATCCTTCAAAGCGCACAGCAACCACTCTGTGGCATGACTACCCTCTGACTGGGCATATTGTCAACCTGGCGGCCTTCTCCAACAGCTGCCTGAACCCCATCATCTACAGCTTCCTGGGTGAGACCTTCAGAGACAAGCTGAGGCTCTTTGTGAAGCAGAAGGCCAGCTGGTCAGTGGTCTATCGCTTCTGCCATCACACTCTGGACCTCAACATTCCAGTTAGGAGTGAGTCTGAGGTGTAGGACTGAATGTAGTCCCAGATCTATTGGGAGTGCGGCTTGAGATTGTTCTTTTTGCAATTCTGAGAAGAACAATTGGAATGTTTTTTTCTATTGAAAACCCTGTATGCCTCTCAGAATGAAGTTGCTCTGAAACTCCAGATGCAGTAGGGTAGGAGTAGGAGTAGGGCAGAGAATGTAGGTGCAGCCACCAACTGACAGGGGTATACAGTTTAGCTTACAAAAGCAGTTGAAGAAGAAGCACCATGTTTGCTTTATTTCCCGCAGAGTGTAATCTATACAGAAAAAAGGGATCATTCAGGGAATTTTTTGCAAAGACACGGAACGATGGAAAGTAAACAGTAAAGATAAAATAACTGATCTGTTTTTTCTAAAAGTAAACTTTAGAGATAAAAAACAAAACAAACAAAAAAACATAATGTATCAAGGTAATGACTTTTATACTCCAGGAAGATTGTGCTCAATGAGCCCATGGTAAGGGAACAAATAAAAAACAGACTTCAAGACCTCTGACTTGTTTTTTCTCTGCATCATTTTGGTCTTTGTTTTTCTTCCTTTAATATTTGGTAAGCTTCCTACACTACACAAATGCCATAACAGGTTTTAAACAAACTGGTTCGTTTAAAGTTCACTGCCCACCTTAACTGGAACATCTACGAGATCTTACTTACTAACGAGACTTACTGTGTGCTCAGACAGAAGTGTGTTATCAATTCTATCCCCAGGTGTTGGCTCCTGTTTACCAGGGGTAGAGACAGGGGGCAGGTGGCTTGCGGAAGGCAAAAGGTAATGTAAACACATTACTTGAGCCTTCAGTAACCCATCCAACAGTGCTCCATCAGTGCTGTTTATTCAGTACAGTGCTTTCAGTCACATTTCTAACCTTAGTCATATCTTTGTGTCATTCCAGTGGGCAATGTCCCCGAGCTGTCCCTGTCATTTTCAGTAGGACTGTTATTGTTTATAAAATAAATAATTTTTCTCTTTTTCTCAAGAAAAATGTTATTGGGAGTCACAGAAACTGCAAGTAATACTGATAGAGCTATCAATGAAATGCTGCTCTACTTCATTCAAGAGCGGTTCATGATTTTGGTGGAGTAGGACAACATTAATAACAACATAGTCTCAAACAAAATTAAGTCGATAGGCTAGCAGGCTTACTGAACCTGGATTGCTGAAGATTTGAAACCCGGAATGGTCTTCTGCAGTTGTATCCCATCTTCCTCATCTGCTCATCGTGGTTGTAAAGAGTTGCAAGTGGTTATTTGAGTTACCGTAGCTCAAACCTGGTCTGGTCATTCTCCTCTGACTTCTCATCAACAAGGTGTTTCTGATCACAGAACTGCTGCTCACTGAATGGTTTTGTTGTTCTTCTTCTTCTTCTTTTTTGTACCATTCTGTGTAAAGGTTATTGTGTGTGAAAATCCCAAAAGGTCAGCAGTTTCTCAAATACTGTCTGTCTGTCTGGCACCAACAACCATGCCAGTCTGGTGTTTGATGTAAAAGTTAACTGAAAGTTACTGAAACTATGTAATAATAGGGTTGATATGTATAAAGCTGTTAAAATTTGTTAAAACTCATGTTCTGTGATTAACATTGGAGCCTGTCTTAGGGAACTTGTTGTACGAAGCAGCGCACAATCTGTCACAGATTCACACACTACAGACAATTTGGAAATGCCAATCAGACTACGCATGTCTTTGTACTGGGGAAGGAAACTGGAATACCCAGAGCAGGCCGGTGAGGAGAACATGCAGGCTCTGGGCACACAGGGCAGAGGTGCGATTTGAACCCCAATCCCTGAGGTGCGAGGCAAGCATGCTGACCACTAAGCCACTGTGCCACCTCCTATATAATATCGAGTAAAACAGGTAAATACTTATTATATGCAGGTGGGGTGGATTGTCTGATTTCTTTCTAATGATGATTCCCATCACAATACAGTGTCCAATGCACATTCTCCGAATACCCAAAGCATGTTAAAATGGTGTTTCTCCTTCTCAGTGGGCCTATGGAGATAAAATAGTTTGTAAAACCTAATAAACCTTTATTTAGGCCTTAAACATGAGTTCCCAAAGGCTCATACTCAAACACAAATAAACTGGTCATTGAAACCAGGGTCAGTATGTATGACGTCACTCAGATCGAGAAGAAAATTAAAATTACATTAACATTTAGTTATAATTAGGCCTAAAAATGAGAGCAATATACAATAATTCGTAAGTACTCTATAAAATTGGAGTATTTAGAAGTGCTTTAGAGGAGTCTCGAACTGTTAAAAATGTCAACAGATAGACAAAATGTGCACTCACAAGCAGCTGCAACTGATAGATGATGCAGCTCTCATAAAGATTCCACTTATGTATAAGGCAGCAATGAATTTGTTAGCATTGAGACTGTGGCTTTTTCCTTAGATATCAAAGTATATATTATATACTCCCTTTGTGAAGCATAACTACTTTACTGTGTATTATTATTATTATAATTATTATTACAATTATTATTTTGTTGCCCTCGTCCCAACGTTTCTGAGACGTGTTCCAAAAATATTTTAAATATTTAAAATGGTGTGTATGATGAAGAAGAAATTCTGTCTGACCTTTTATTTTTAAGTTTCCGTGTAAAATTTAAAAAAACATTACATTTTAGGTAACTATAAATGTAAATGATATATATGAATGTACATTTTATATAGTCTGAGTGTGCCACTGGTAAAATACAGAGCCAGCAGGGTTGCCAGTGTCACCATTTTTATGCCAATCCTGGAACAAGTTGGAAGATGTAAAAAATAAGTTGCCTGGTGTCCTTTATGGGCTGATTTAAAAACAGCTCGTGGCCATATCTTGTTCTAAAGTAAATAGTAATTAGGTTTCTGCAAACATATGCTATAGCAAACAAAGGGGAAAACACAGACACAGCAGTCCTTTCTACTATGTACTGAACCATTTATATTGTATATACTGCAAAGACTGATTCAGGGTGCTTGTTTGGGACCGTGATGTAATCACTACAAGCGTTAAATCCTGAAATTAATTTCTGAGATGAAATTACAGAGATACAAATGACAAAAGTAGGTAAAAGTAAAAACAGATAGGTGCCTGAAGTACTAGCTAGTCAGGTAGCCATCTTAGCAATATGCCTTAGACCTATTTCTCCACATCTTTAACTTCATAGCAAAGACTAATTACAGGATTTAGCAGTTCTAGTGGTGACGCCATGGTTCCAAACAAGCTTCCCTTGACGAGACCCATGACATGCAGACTAGTGTTTAACACTGACTTTACTTTTTAAGTTTATTCAAAAATAAATGTTAAATGAAGAAGTTAAATGTTAATTTCCCCCTCTCTCTCTCAAAGTGTATGTCATTGTGAAAAGCCCCCAGTGGGATTGCCTGTGTTTAAATTTTCACACCATATGGACCCTTGTTTGAAACCGTGGTGTAGTCATTACAACAGCGTAATCCTCAATTTAGTCACTGCTGTGACATTTCAGATGAGAATACAGCACATTAGCGTTAGCTAATCTGGCTACCTGACTAGCTAGTCCAGGGGTGGGCAATCTTATCCGGAAAGGGCCGGTGTGGGTGCAGGTTTTCATTCCAACCAAGCAGAAGCCACATCTGAATCTATTGAAAGCCAAGATCAACGGATTAAACAGGTGGAATCAGGTGTGCCTCCTGCTTGGTTGGAATGAAAACCTGCACCCACACCGGCCCTTTCCGGATAAGATTGCCCACCCCTGAGCTAGTCCAACCTACTTCTACATTCATCTGCTTACAGTAGGTCACAGCTCCAGAGAGATTTTGTGCATGTTCTCCCACCTCATGTCCAGTATTCCCGGGATAGGTTTCTGAATCCACAGTAACCGGACCCGGATAAAGCAGGTCCTGAAACTAGGTGAGTGTGAGTCATTTTAATATCTATGAATGTTTAAATTAAGCTTTCTTACACATTCTGCCAGGCAGCTATAACTTTATTAATACTCCTTTGATGTCCTTTTTTCATAATTATTTCTATGCAATTCTGGGCAAAGTGAAAGGTCAATGTAGTAGAGGAACGCCTGCTACACAGTGGATCGACACAATCACCAGGAGTGAAATCCAAGATCAACCGATTAATCAGGTGTGACTCCTGCTTGATTGGAAGGAAAACCTGCACCCACACCAGCCCTTTGTAGATAAGTTTGGACACCCCTGACTTAGCACCCTGTCCAGGGTGTACCCCGCCTTGTGCCCGATGCTTCCTGAAATAGGCTCCAGGTTCCCCGGGACCCTGAAAAGAATAAGTGGTATAGAAGATGGACGGACCCGACATAGCCAATTTACTCCCACTGTCCAAAAAACATGCAGGTACGATAAATTGCCCCTGGGTTAGAATGTGTGTTCATGGTGCTCTGTCCAAACCAAGGAGAATTCTCCTGCCCTGCTCCCAGTGTAACCAGGAAAAGCTCTGGATCCTGATTTCTAAAAGCCTGGCTTTTTTTTTTTTTTTTACTAGCTCGCATAGTGGTATAATCCCCCTCCCCCCTGGCAGGTTTAGTCTGCTCTGGGAAAACATGACAAACAAACCAAAAACAAAAACAGTGGCCATCAAGCAGTTGTTTTTTCAGCTGTGACAATGGGAATGGCCTGGGAAATGAGAGCCACGCATCACGTTGTGATCTTAACGTAAGGAATTATGTACGGTTACATCAATTAACTTAATGAAGTAGCTTAATAAACATCAAATCCCAGACAGACCCCAGGGAGTTCCTTATGAGATTTGTGTATGTTCAGGCCCACAGATGCGATCAGAAACATGCTGAGAACCGCCTGGGGATGCACAACAGGCAGGGACATGGGGACCATGAAGGGAAGACATACAAGTGAAAATTTAATGAAGGGCTGATGAGTGCCGTTACTTAAAACAAGTGGCGCCAAGACGGAGTCCAGAACCCTTTCAGTCCATCCCAAGAGAACTAGCAAGTGGGGCATTTTCATTATGTGCATGTGTGAATAAAAAGACAGGATAACACATGAACTCCTAGATACAAAGAGCAAGAATAGAGGGACAGAGGTCCAGTACAGACTATGAGAAGTGTGTGACAGGAGACCTGCAGATGCAGCTGAGACTTGAGAACGGCTCAGAGTTGAAGGACTCTGATGTCACAGCTGCTGGCATGTTTCATATGCACAGCCTCTCCTTTGATGTGGTTCAACCAGCTCTAAAGTCGTATACCAATATTAAAGTGCAATAAATATAAATAAGTTATACACACACTTTCATGGAAAAAAAAAAGTTTTAGAGCTTAGTTTGTGAAAATAAATAAATCCGCTATATAGTTACACTGCGCTTCATGTTAAATTAACCACAAAGTATAAAGCTGCAACATTCTTCTTTTGGCTTTCTTGGCATTTGTGCAGCACAGATTCTTGTAACACGCTGACATCATGGATTATGAAAACGATCCACAAACCAAAGAGCCCCAGTCTTTTAGCTCCATTAATGCATCAACAGGAGCCAGACACCAATGAGAGTGCGCTGTCAGGGCAAAGCTAATTAATGAGGTGTGAATTAATGCATAATCCTGGAGTTGTGCTACAGGGGGAATTCAAGCTTGAATAATGGAGCTGACCTGCAATTACATTTACATTTTAAAATATTCACTGGAAAAAGAGGAAGAAATTGAATTGGGGTTTCCAAATCAGCAGCAAGGGTAAATCAGCATGCATTGTAGACGCCAAAGCAGCAGTTGTTTAAAGTTGGTTTAACCCCCCCACACCCGAGATGGGCAGTAATAAAATAAAATTCCTTTAAGTGGTCAGAAGTTAAAGATAGTACAGTAATGTGCACATGGTAATGATCTAATCCTGACCTCTAGTGGGTGAGCTAGAAGGGACAACCACAAGCCAATGGTCTCAGGAAACTATACAATAAAAGTTTGAGCCTTCTTGTGATTAGAGTCTGAACATTTTCATTTGCAAAGACAGTTTTAATCAGTAGCCAGACTACTCCCATGTACCAGAAATACTAGCACCATACGGAATTCATGCAATTCATACGGAGTGCATGTTCAACTCTACATTTATTTAAAAAATAAAATAGTCCAAGTACACAAAATGAGGTAGTGAAATTTTATTAACAACCCAATAATCAATGTAAAAAGATAAATATTGCAGCATGCAAACTAATGCTACTCTACAATGAGCACGGCTAATAGTAAATACACATTATTCACCGGAAACCTGAGTCTGTAGGGAATGTTTTACAAAATTATGCAATCAGTTAAAATCCACTGCTTTAGAGTGTACGGTTAAACAAAGATTAAAACAAGACAAAAATGGTCATTATGCTCGCTCCCCTCGGATTCGCCTTGCCAGCTGGATGTCCTTGGGCATGATCGTGACCCTCTTGGCGTGAATGGCACACAGGTTAGTGTCTTCAAACAGGCCAACAAGGTAAGCCTCACTTGCTTCCTGTAAAGGTAACAGGTATGGTTAACTTCGTTAATTAGTGACTGGTAGGTTCAATTGAAACCCGTCAACCGGGATAGTGAAGGCAACCACGTGCTTCTACAAAAAAGCCTAACGCACACAGCGCATAAGGTAGTGTCAATGATCTAGTTGGACTTGATCATTGATCAATATTGCAAAAAATAAACATACACTAGGTCCATACATTGCTTTGTAATGAAATTCCATGACTTAAGGACTTGTTTTGAATGACTATACAAGATGTCATGCAAAATGTAAAATGCCCCCCCAAAGCAGTGTCCAACAACTTTCAATTGATAATCGCCAAATCTTGCTAGATGATGTAATGAATATGCTAATCACCACATGATCAGTGCATCCTCTCTAAAAAG